TTCACATTTTGGACAAAGAAGACAGGTGGTTTGAGAGGGGCGTGAAGGAAGCATCTATGTTAAGAAAGAAAAACCAACCTTTTAAAGTCGTAGGGAAATCATATTTAAATGTCAAATCCTTCTGGCTTAAACATGTATATAAATGTTCTCTTTAGCAGACAATAATGTCCCAAAATTTAGAAAATTTCTATAAAAAAAAATTCTGTCTTGAAATCTGTTATTTTTCCATTATCTTCTGCTGGCCAGTTAGTTCTACGTCAGCCTGAACACCTGAATTCGGCCAATCATATATCAATGCTCATCTGTCAATCGATCATAGCATCTTGATTCATATGTCGCAGCTAATATACGCAACGGTTGAAATCAGAAGTCAGAATCATTTCATCTTATTGTGATCCTATGAATTAACAAATAATATCACCGCCTGCTCTCCTGAGGTCCAGGCGGTCTGGAACGGAGCGGGGCGGAGCGGTTACGGAGGATGAGGGATTTTTGAGTAACATTGCACGTGCCTACCAGGCCTGCCCAAAAATCGGGCCTCAGAGGGCCGCTGTCCTGCAGGTTTTAGAGGTTTCCTTCCTCCAGCACAGCTGATTTCCATTGGTTGCTGCTAAAAGGCTTTTGCTCAAATGCAATCTTCAGAATTGGCTTTGCTGAAGCAGGGAAACCTCTCAAGAACTCAGTCTAAGTACACCATTGCCTTGGTGAAACACGGCGGTGCCGGCATCATGGGGGATGAGGGACCTTCATCAGGGTTTATGGGAAGGTATATGGAACCATATATGGTCCAGAGCATGTGAACTGAGCAGAGTGCTGCGCAATTCCCGCTCCCTGCTCAGGAGGATATTGACTTATTCGCTCGGCTGCTCAAAGTTGTGCTAGGACGCTCCGCTCAAAATCTGCTCCACACTCACCGTAATTTTCCAGGCGCTACAGTGAAATCGTTCCACGCTCGCTCAAATTTGTATTTTTCCTTCATGTAATTCTGCCAGGGCCAGGGGACACACGGCGTTTGTTTTAATGATGTGACCGATAACTGCCTGTTAAATTATCGCAGCTGTGAACGTAACACCTCACTCCTACACTGAGCCTGGTTCTGCTGGAGGTTTCTTCCTGTTCAAAGGGAGTTTTTCCTCTCCACTGTCGCTACAAGC